CTAGTCTCAAATGAGTTCTTCTAGTATTAGAAACAGCATTGACCTATTAAATCCAAATATTGATGCAAAAAATAAATAAATTTATAGTCAATTGTCAACATGTCGAGGAAGAATTAGTAGTATTAAAAGTTACTGAACGAATCCCTAAAACTACTTGAAATTAGGGTCGATAACCAAGTCCCTAAAGTTTTGGTGGTCAAAGATAATAGAGATGCTGGTATCATTTCTCTTGATCCAGGAACGAGAACTTTCATAGCCCCGTGTAGTATGAGTGGTGGGAAAGAGACGTAGGTATAATATAATACTTGTGCTTGCATTCTTATTATGATAGATATAGAATCCGTGAAAATTCGTAAAATGATTATGTGGTGGCCGCCACGTTGTTTTGCTCCCCGAGTTTAAAACACAAGACATGGTATAGAGAAAATTAGTTCTAAAAACTGCAAGACAAATGTTGACCTGGTGACATCACCGGTTTAAACAACATCTGCTCCATAAATTCCGCGAATTCATCACGTGCTGCGCCGCTCGCCGAAATTTTATGCAGATCTTACCTTTGTTTCCAAATTTGTAAAAGGTCTGCGGTAAATCGTGAAAATAAATCTATTTAGGAATTTCATATCAAAAATGGAAATAGTCTTTAGATGATCGGTGTCATCTGCACACTAATACTAATAAAGCGTGTGGATGTGGATGCTCATAGGCAGAAGTTTGTATTATCTTTGTAATTTAATTGGTCAATTTTATTGGATGATATTAAAATAAATTCACTTAATTACGAAGCTACTACTGCCATTATTTTTCAATTATTATTATCACAATTCTTATTAGTCGATCTTATGCAGTAGCAAACAACTCTTTCCTCTATTCAAAAAATTCAAGTCACTTGATATTAATTTAAAATCAAAAAATCCTTTAATGAATTTGAAACAAGGATCAATCTTAAAGGTGTAACATTAAAGTTATGAAATACATACTGTTTTTTAAAAATGTTAAAATATTACTTCTAAATATCTAATTATATGCAGAATGATAATATATTTACTCATTCTGTTGTGTTATTATAGTTAATATAGCAATATCAGCATTAAAATAGATTCTTATTAGAGCTTTCTAGGAATCAGCAAAAGCGGAGAACAACTATTTTTAACTTTCCTCAAAATAGACAAAGAAATACATGGTAGTGGTATTATTACAACATAATATTACTAATAGAAAGATTCGTCTTCAATTGAAAGATCCACCTGTATGTTAGGTAGATTCGATGCGTTATGCACTGTATTATGATTATTTTCATATTTAATATTAACTATTAATTATTTTGATCTTACAAGATCGTATTTTTATATTTAATTGTTTATTAAATCATTTTTTCATGATATTTATTATAAATTGCATACTGACGTTGTTATTATTATATTCTTAGATGATTTAATTTAGTCAAAAATTGATACTTGAGATTGTTTTTTTATTACATACTATCTTGTTATATTTTTAGATGATCCAATAAATATATCCAACATCAAGCTTCAATTAAGAGTGGGCAGATAGATATGAGGGCTTTAATTTCGACTTCATGTATAGTTAGTTCATAATAATAATGTTTTTGTACTTTTTTATTTATATTTTTCAAAAAAAAAAATTAAATAAACAAATTTTTATTTTTAAATCTATTACTATTACTATTATAATTGTCTGTATGATTTCAGTAACTAAAACACGTTTTACCATTAATTAAACACGTTTTACCATTAATTAAAACAAGTTTTACCATTAGTTAAAACACGTTTTACCATTAACTAAAATCAGTATCGATTCAGTATCGATTCCATACTGACTCCGTACTTTTGATACGGAAATTGATACGGAAATTTGCAGATTTAGTTAATAAAAGAATAAAACAAATTGGCTCACAAAAGTAAACTTTTTTGTTCCTTGGGATGACTTAGTATTGTATATTAAATACACATATATTACAATAATTAGAACTGTTAAAAGTTCCGGATTCTTAGTTAAAAATCAACAGATACAATTGATTTTACAGTTAACCTTCGGGAATTGGGTAGTTGCACGTGATACATTAAAAACATCATACCATTTTATTATGTATTATTTATATATTAAAAAATTAATCTGTTCCACTGAATTCATTTTTTTAAATTAATATATCGGTCAAAGAGCATTAACTTGTTTTAATTGTTCTCTAGAAATTTCATGTAACAAAAGGACGTGGACAACTTCCAAACCTTTTAAAGCTTCGTTAGCACTTATTATTACTAGCTCATCTTCATCTTCATTATTATCAATGGGTACTTCTGTTCGTTTTTTATATATTTCAGTAAGTTCTTCAACAATTTTATCATCATCAGAATTTTTTCTTCTTATAGATTATTTTAAAAGTTGTAAGCATCTGAGTATGCTCATCTAATGTTGCTAGGGATATTGGTTAATTCGGTATTAATAGCAGAAGAATTTTAATATGATCAGCAATTATGGATGATTTCCTTCATATAGTAATTATTACTATAAAAAAGATTATCAAAGGATATGAAAAATTGCAATCCTTCAACTTGTTCTCGAAAAGTTGACGTTCGAAATAAGTATCAGAGTGATTTCTTGCAGGCTCTTGAACTTGATTTAGGATCCATTTAATATGCAAATTACAATAATGTTTCTTGAATGACATAACAATTCCAACATACATTGGTTGATTTTTGAATGGTATTTGGGGAAGAAAATGAACATCAACATTCGAAAGAACCAAACCATTTGTCTTGTGGCATGGTCAATTATCAAGGAGCAATAATACCTACTGGTTTCCATATTTTGAGCAACCTCCTCTATTGAATTCTTGAAAAAACATCAAAGCCTGTGTACTATTATGATATGTCATCAAGTTTAAAATTAATGAAAACATTGTGCTTTTTGGGAATTTCCAATTATTAAGGAATCTAATTCATGAGTCACATCAGCAACAAAGCAATACCAACTCCTTCTTTATTTGCTTTTGCAACCAGAAAGTCTCAGCATGGCTAATGCTCTATCTGGCTTTAATCTGTAAAAAAACTCCCGTTTCATCCATATTGTATATTCTTTCACGTGTATGACAGCCTTCACATATACTTTTCAACAACGGTAAGGCATTAGTGATGTCCATGAAATGAAGCTTCTGGTGACGGATTCCATTACGTTTTTTATATTATTTGAGCCATTCAGCAGAAAATTCCAATGTTCTACCTGAAACTCCCAAGCCATCTGCTAAATTGTTTGGCTTTTCAACCAAAATAGCTTCTTTACTTAAAATAGCTTTGTCTCAGTAGATTTAAGTAAACTCCTTTTCAATCATCTGCAAACAAATAAGCAAAATTCATATTTTTTGGAATTACTTTACTTTTGAAGGCACTTTATTTAAAAGTAATAAAAAATACGAGTGTTATTTGTGAGAACAATTAATTAATTACAAATTGTTAAAATATAAATTTCTTTGAATTTCATTGGTCATACCATTTTCTCACGATAGTTTCCACTCGTCTAAAGTCCACACATACACATATATATTGATATAAATGACATCATGGAAAAAATGCGATTGCTTGGAATTATTTTTTTGCAACGAAATGTGGTACACTTTTGTCCAGCATGGCGTTTCATGGCCAACACTGGACCTATATGGGGTCTGGACAATAGAAACGGACCATGTTGTGAAAATGATGTTTTGAGAAAATTTAAAAAAAAGATCTGCATTTCAAGTAATTTACTATTGTTTTTAAAACTTTAATGGAGGGTATCTCAAAGTTTTATTAAGCAAAGTGGGTATGGTTTCTAAGCCAAAAATGTTCTACATGAGGAATTACATATAATAGTGATACTAACTCAAAATTGCTTTTTTCACAACATGGTCCGTTTCTATTGTCCCACACTCCATATAGTTTGCAGGGTCTTGTTAGTGTACACACTGTGGCCAAACCTTGCAATTGAAGCTACTTACGCGGAGATAGTAAAAAAATATTGGTTAGATCTCATGATGGTAAAAGTAATAGTAATCGCAGTTATATTATTCGAAATTTCTTTGTGTCATAATTACTTCATATTCTGCTGCTCGAAAGTTTTGCGATATGCAAAACGATAGCAAAAGGACGAGGATAAAAACAAGAAAGATATTTATTTTTCTATTTTTCGTAACAAATTCTTACTAGTGCTTATATCCCAGTGGTGCTTGCATTCCAGATAATATAGTAATACAATTTGGTACAATTATATATCAAGCATAAGTAACAATGGAAAGATACAATTTTTTTTAGTTTAGTTATCTTGCCATCATTTCATGATTTTTATTCTTTGATGAGTATAGCAGTTTCGTACAAATATAGAACATCAATGAGGGAATTAATGCATGTTAAATTTTAACACAACTTGGGTTGATGTGATTTTAACGCACTTTCTCTTGAATTTGGAACCATTGATGATAGTGGCCAAATTCTTATTAACATACTATTGATATTAATCTAGAATGCCTTTTCATGGAATGCCATCTGATTTTCTATGCCCACATCAATCTTTCCTTTATTATGTTTTACTTGGTATGAAAAATGTATGTTATTCCATAAAAACACCATTATTTTTTTTTATATATCATAATTCTTTGATATAACAAATTATTCAATAAAATAATAGTGATATTGAAACTATTTGAATCTTTTCTTAAACTCTGTTATTAATAACTGTTAAATTTTCTGCTTTATTTAAAATTAGAAAATATTAAAAAAATTACAAACAATTAAAATCAATATATATATATATATTATATGTATATATGTATATATGTATATATAATTAAAAAATTTAGAATTCAAAATTTTCTTTGAAATAACAAATTAGAAAATTAAAAATCAAAAATGAATAATGTAAAAAAAATGTAATCAACTAAATTTCAGAAATAAAATAATCTAAAAATAATCTAAACGTAAAATTATTAAATATACTAACCAAAAATAGACAAATTATAAATCTAACAAATATATTATTTATTATTTATTATGGTTATTATTTTTATTACTTTTATTACTCGCATAACTGCCAACACTACTTGCACTACTCACACTATTAATACTACTATTGCTTTTCTTCCTTCTAATGTGATTACTATGTTTCAATGATGAAAAACGTCTATTATGACTACTAGTATTACTAGTAGTAGTAGTAGTATTAATACTATCATTATTATTGTCGTTTAATGATGATGATGATGTTGAAGATGCATTTGTTACAGATGATGCTAATGTTGATGTTGGTGTTATTGATGCTGATGTTGATGATATGTTGACGTCAATTGTAGATGGCGATGATGAAGATGCTGATGCTGATGCTGATGCTGATGCTGATGTTGTTGATATTGATGTTGATGCTGATGTAATTGTTGAAGTATGTATTATAGGTTCTGGTTCATCACTAATATCGTTATTATGTGCTGATGCATCCGTGTCACATGATGGTGATAAATTAATGTCGTGTGACGATATATCAGATGCAAATGTGGATGATAAAGGTGATAGTGATAAAGGTTCAACAATTTCTGTTAATGATGTACCGACTTCATCAGATGCTAATATTCCACTGGTGTCTTTGTTATAAATCGCTGCAGTTTCTCCTTGAGATATTTCATTATTATTTATAACTATTGTTGGAGTCTTATTCAATTCTCCATAATCACTGATCTCATCAACAACAACCACTTCATTTTTACTACTAACGTTTTGAACATTTTCGATTTCTTGTGCACTATTATTATTACTACTACTCTTATTATTGGTATCAATGTCCACATCAGTTACCGATACTAATAATTCACCACCTTTTGCATAATTGCTGATTATAGATTCATAACTATTTGCTTTCGATGACAACGTTTTTGGTAAAGGCGACAATGTTGACTTTTCATCTTTACCAATATTACTACTAGCTGTGGCAGTACTGTCAATATTAGCAGCAGTGTCGATGTTATTTTTATTATCGTTGCTGCCATTACTAGCAGTTAAATTATCGAAAGTCAAGGTTTCTTCAAAATTCTTTATTGCTTCATAAACGCTATCTTTTTTTTTATTAGCACTACTAGCTTTTGAGGTTGCAGCTTTAGTATCTGTTGTAATGTTTGAAGCAGTTGTTGTAGCATTAGCAACTTCTATTAACGTTGAATTCGACTCTTTTGAATCTACCAAGGAAATAAACATTAATTAAATTAATTAACTAATATTAATAAAATATAAAATAGTATTATTTTTATAAGTTAGTTAGTTACCAATCACAATTTCAAGAGATTCCGATTTATCATCAACTTTCTCTTTTTTGCTTTCATCATTATTAGTATTAATGTTATTTGCTACTGTGGTCATCGATTCTGTTTCATTAAATGGATCTTTAGCAACATCTACTACATCAAGATCTGCCTTAGTCGTATTATTCTTCTCTTTAATAGATCTTACTCTAGCGGGTTTTTTATAATCATCATCAAACAACGACACGTATTTTTCTTCATCCTCTTTACTACCTCTATTCCTCCTCTTTTTCTTTTTATCAACACTACTAATGCTATTATAACAATCGTTACTATTATTACTTGTAGTACTATTTGTATCATCATCTGCTATTTCTTTAATACTATTATTTCTACTAATATTAAAGTTTTTCTTTTTTCTATTGGTATTATTAACACCACTAATATCACTGCCAACATTTTTCCCTTTCATATATTTACTACTACTGCTGTCAATAATTGATTTTCTATCATCATACTCATCACGATCACTACCACCAGTACCGACCATACTTCCTAAACTACCAAATTCTCCTGCCTTTCTTCTTCTTCTGCCACCTCTTCTTTTTATCTTACTACTGCCTCGTTTCTCATCACATTCGCAAAACAAATTCAAATATACTCCAAGCACAATAACTATCAATTTCAAGATCAATACTGTTGTACATATACTTAACATTAACATGGGTATTATTGCTGGAATTATCGAAAATTCTTGATACAATATCTATTAATAATATGATTTCAGCGTGAATTTAATTAGCAATCAATAATTAAACAATTAAGAGTTTATAAATGTAATTACTTTTAATCAATCAGATTATAATTAATAACATATACTTACAAAAATAATTAATTGAACAATATCTTCAACTATCAAACCAAACACCCTACCAATCAAAATCAATTTATTATTACCATTAACAATTGGTATCAACGATTTTCCACTCGACGATGAAGATGAAGAGGTAATAGATGCTTTCGATGAAAAGGTAGAAGTCCTTTTTTCTGAAGATTCTGTCACTTCTGATTTAATTGTTGCGGAAGCGGATGAATTAGGCGATGAAGATCCATTATACGGAGCCAATATAAATGATAAATCCAAATCGATTGATGATAAAACGAAAAAAATAGCTTTTATCAGAATTTTTTTTTCAATCCATTTCAATGTTGAGATTGATGAATCACAAGTAATTATCAAATATGTGAACAACATATTGAAACCAATTGGTACTACTAAAAATGTGATGCTGTAAAAATAATATTATAATTAATTATTAATTCCTCCTAATATCAAAAATACAATGTTATTTTGTATAAATAAATACCTTAGAGGGTATAACCATTTGAAATCTTTTCCGTGTATAGATATAAAAACAATATTCAGACAGAAATCTGATATGATGAACGTAAACATAACAGCTGCCAAAAATCTTTGCGCCTAAATAATGTAAAAAATTGATTAATATTATATTTAAATATATATAAAATATATGTAAATATTAATAATCTAATTACCGCTTTGTATTTATGCATTCTTATTAATATCCATAAAATAATAAGCATTAGTAGTAAAAATCCAATAAATATAATCATGAATATCCATCTAAATTTCTCTTTGAAATGATCTAAACGTTCAGCTCCATAACCTGAATCAATCAAATTGGTGTATAATCCTTTAGATAATAATGTGACGTCTTTATTCAATATCAATTCATTCAGATCACTTGCTAGTTGTACTGCACTCAACTCTGTTCTTGACAATGTGCCCTCGATTTCAACTCTCATAAATATTTGATCAGTTGAACTAGCTGTAATGTTCATTCCGACATTTTTAAATACTTTTTGACTAAGATTGTCATTATTGATATTGTTATTATGAAGGCTATATTGATATTTTGTCAACGTTGTTACGCGTGTCACATCACATGGGAGAGCATTGGATAATTCATTTGATATTTTACCAACGAAATCTGTTTGATCATCAGTTGATAATGATGTGTAATATGTTGTGCCTTCTGGTGTTAATCGGATTATACAACTAACAGAATCTGAATCGTAATTAACGTATGATTCATCCTTAACTAAGACTATACGGATTAATGGAACCGTATTAGAATTTATATTATAATGTAAAAAAAAAATAAAAGGTTATAAACTCCAATACATAGACACACGTTCTCTCTAAAAAAAAATTTTTACCTGTACTAAAATTCCATGCTTTTGAATTTATACCAATAATATTTTGATCAGTAGTCGCACTTTTAACAAAATCATCTTCAACAGTCACATAATATTCGCTTCCAGGGTTATTAAAGGTACTTTTTAAAACTTTGACTTGGGCAGTGGTTTCATTCGAAATTTGAACATAGTCTGATTGCGCAAAACATGATTGACGCAATATATCTTTATCATCATCATCAATATTAGGGCTTGTGCTAGAACGTTTTTGATAAATATTAATCTTTCCTGATGATGTTTTAATTGATTTAGTATACGTTATTGTGATTAAATTGATATCTGTTGATATGATATTTGAATTTTTTTCTGGAGTTGTTGATAATATACTGTCAGACCCATATCCACCAGGGCCACCAGGGAATGTATTAACATTACTATTAGTATTCTGAACTGTACTGTATGTGGTTAAAGTATCAGTCAATACACAGGTCCAAGAATTATTATCATCAAGTTGTTGTTTAGGTATTGTCCAAAGTGTATTGTTTGGAAGAACTCCAGCAATTTTATTTGTGTATTCATATTGTTTTGTGAAACCCCAATTTCCAAAATAAGTACCATTGTTACTACAAACATGTCCTTCAACACTGCCGGCTGGAGTTTCCACCAAAATAACATATCCACCATAATACAATGTTTGAACATCCCATATTGTGGCTGTGGTAATTTGAGTAATTGAAAATTCCGGAGTCACCGAATTTACTTTACCAGATGATAAGAAATCAACATCTATAAACGATATTTTTGTTGTTGTTGATCTGAAAATAGAAATCAGACAACTGTAACCTGATGAGTAATAGGCAAGGTCACATCTACGAATGTTCACTATGTCAACTAAACCACTACCAGTAGTTTTACTTTTGTATAATTCAAAAGGACCTGTTAGTGGTGAACCATTGTCTTTGGGTAAAAATGTTACAGAAATTGTCCAGTCATCAGTAAATTGATTGTTGGTAATGGTAGTTGTTTTAGAGGTACAAGTAACCATTGCATATTCTCCATCTTCCGTTGAAAAGAAATTTGTAACATTTGAGTTAAAGTTGATCACATTTGTTATTTTTCCAGTAGAAACTTGGAATATTGTACCAGTGGGAACATTCCTATTAATAATTAAATTAAATTAAAAATTAAGAATGATCAACGAAATTTATAACTAAATAAATAAATATAAATTACTTACGGTGTAGTATATTTTGTCCAAACAATTTCTTTAGTGTCTTTAAGATAACACGCGCGTAAAAATCCAACATTTTTTTTATGACTTTGTACAATCCTACTATCATCGCATATATTCTCAAATTCGATTTTACTATTAATTTATAGTCGACAAATAACAATCACGTAAATATATTAAATCGTAGTTAGTTTAGATTTGTGAAAAATAATATTTATTTACCTGACTAATTCACCTGTCCAGGTGACGACATCACCACAAACTTTATTAGACACTGAACGATCACAAAAATAGTTTATTAAAATATATTTAAAAGATATCGCGTGTATTGTTATACGATCAACGCTACCATCCGGAGATGTTGTTATTGTATTGTTATTCGTTGGGTTTGGAGTTTGTGATGTTGTGGGATTATTTGGATTGTTATTAGTAGTAGTTGGTGTATTGGCTGCATCGGTTGTGGTAGGGGTTGCAGTTATCGCGGTAGTTTGAGGTTCTACTGTTGCTGGCAAAGTTGAACATTGTGGATTTTTTTTAGAACAAGTTGATTTTGCGGTAGACGTATGATCATTATTATTGTTATCACCAAGTTTATGATAAGCAACAAAAGTAGGTTGATCACAGAAATTATCCTTTGGAATATTTAAATTGTTCAAATTTAAAGTTGAAACCGTTCCATTTGTGTGCACTAATCGTAAATAGATTGTGTTCTCATTACAATAATTTAATGGATTCAATAATCTTAATAAAATTGTTCCGTCCTGATAATTAACTCCTTTGATTATTCTGAGATCGCTGTTATTTGTTTCGACATTCTTTATTGCTGTTTCGTATGCAAAACTCGGTTTAATTATTATAAAATCGAAAATCGAAGAACCGATAAAGATCAATGCAATTAAATAAACAACAAGTCCGAAGAACAAATTCTCTTTCCAAATATTAATAATATTATGATTACGATTCATATTTATTGTATTTATTATACTATATTATTATTATACTATATTTAGGGAACACTTGTGCTCGCTCTTTAGGCAATCAATATTATCAATATTTCATTTATTAGATTATAATTATTATAATAATAAAATTATAATATTATTATTAGTAAAGGTGGAAATGTATTTTTCAAGAGCAATAATTGAGAAAGAGAATTGAACTATGGACAAGGGGTTCAACCATCGGACAAGTGTGAGTATATATAATACAAATTTTTTTTTTGATTTGTTAAATTAATTGGTGTGCATGTATGTGTGTACATTATTGTTATTAATATTTTTTGATTAATTATTATTGTTATTATTATTTAATTAATTATTCATTTAATTTATTAATTTTTTATTTTTATTTTTCCCAATTAATTATAAATTCCAACGATGGAAAATGACACAAGAAACATTACATTATATTTATAGATGGAAGTAGTGTTACATTAATAAAAAACGTAAAAAAAACAAAAATTCGATTTTCGTGAATTAATTTTTATGACCATAAATATCCAATCGAAACAAAATTTAGTTTTTTGTGCGAGAAAAAAGTAATTTAAATCGAGTAAACAAGGAAGATTTTTTAAATATGGAAATGATAAATCAAAATTACTATTTATATTTCACAAAAAAAATTATGTATTTCCACACGAAAATAAAAAAAATTTCTATTAATAAATCTTCGACTATTCTCAATTCTCACATACCAAACAACCCGCTTTCATTCACAAACTTATCTATAAGCTTTTTATTTTATTTTAATCTACCAAATTATTTCACCCATAAACTTGATTTAATTTAACTTACAAATTTGCCTTCATCCATTTACTTGTCTTCACTTTTTATCATTATTATTATTATCATTATTATTGGTATTATTACCTTTTAAAGTAATTTTCAGGTTGCTTACCTGATTAATTACTTGCTATTAATGGAGAATGTCCATATATTATTAATATCATTAAAATAAATTCTTTTCAATTTATCATTTCATTGGGAGATGTGCAAAAATTAAAAACGTTATGCTAGCATAATCAGCACAGAATTTAGGTGCGTGTCGCAGGTATCCAGGTAATTAACACGTGTTTTGCCGTTGCACTATAAATATTACTTTCTAGTACTTCAAGTACTCTCCAATCATGGAAAATGAACGACTATATATTATTTTAACTTTGGGATTATATTGTTATTATCATTTATAATATAAATTTGTCCTGAATCGCACATCTATTATTAGAACATGGCCACAATTATATGACAAAGACATTGTCAAAAAACTATATTTATTTATATGTGAGTATATATATATAATATCAATCTTAATTGTCAATCCTCTTGATTCGATTTATTGATCGACATAATATTAATATTTTCTCAATAAAGCTTCTTTGCTAATTGTTGAATCAACCTTATTTTCTCATTCCCGTCCACCTTTTTTCATCCTTCTATCTATCCTTCGCCCTTCTATTCTTCTTTAGATGATTATATACATGGTGTCTATCATTTTTGTAAATTCTGTAAAATAGTTGCTTGATGAATATGTGTGATTAGATTCCTTTCTTTTTTAAAAAAATGATACCATATACAAACTTTTACTAATTTATAAAAAATAGAAAATTCAATAAAATAAAATATAAAGAAATCTAAATATTTTAATTCTGACATATAAGTGAAAATATATATATTATATATGACATTAAGTAAATTCTGAGAGTACGGAAATAAAAAAAAATATTAGCTAATAAATAATAATATAATATTAAAGTGATAATAATAATAAGAATAATAATAAGAATAATTTAACGACTTTTTGTTGATTTTTTAGGTTTGACATCATCATCAGATATTGCACGTAAGAAAATTGCATTCTTTGTAGGTAATTGCGGGTATTGAAGATATCCCTATAATTTCAATAATAATAATTTCAATATTATAAATAAATAAACAGACAAATAATAAATAATTACTCGATTAATCAAATGATTTAGTTACCTTACTCCAATCATAGCTTACAGCATAAGCAAACAGTGTACCATTTCTATTGAAATCAGTGGCAATAATAGGTGCACCAACCGTATTAAAACCCTTGATTCGTTGTTTAGATTCTTTATCCCAAAAACTAAACGAGCCATCACTTCCCGATGTTGAAAATGTACCATATAATGGGTGGAAAGATATCGCATTCACTGCATAAATATTATTTCCATCTCTATGGCACTTGAATGAAAATCCTTGTCGTCTTGTTTAAATAAAAAAAAATCAGCTTCAATTCAAAAAAAAAAGCAAAATTAAAAACAAACCAACTAATCAATATTGAAATGATAATCTTACTGGTCTTTCTCATCGAAATATTGTATGCCTACTCTTCCCTCAATGCTTCCTATTGCGTAACCATTACCTGCTGGATAACATGCAACACAACGTGTTTGCCATTTCAATGTACTAAAGTCTTGCTATTTGATCAATTAAAATTACATTAATTAATATTCATATAATAATTAAATAAAAAGCTCGTCAATTTTTTTCTTACTTTTACTGGTTGACTTGGGTTGGTAAGATTGTAATATATAACATTTCTATCAGCTGTTCCTACCACAAGATGTGGGTAATGTAAATCCATTGCATAAACTCTTTCAGGTAGATTAACATTCAAAACAGGTTGTGGAGATCTTAAATCCCAATACTAAATAACCACAATAATGACAGTAACCACAATCAGTAATTAATTTATAAATAAATCTCTTTCCTTCTAAAAAAGGTTACCACCTTGAGTGTTTTATCCCAACCTCCAGTTACTACGATATTGTTTGCATCGACGCATTCGATACATCGTATTGGTTGTACATAACATGCAACACAACGTGTTTGCCATTTCAATGTACTAAAGTCTTGCTATTTGATCAATTAAAATTACATTAATTAATATTCATATAATAATTAAATAAAAAGCTCGTCAATTTTTTTCTTACTTTTACTGGTTGACTTGGGTTGGTAAGATTGTAATATATAACATTTCTATCAGCTGTTCCTACCACAAGATGTGGGTAATGTAAATCCATTGCATAAACTCTTTCAGGTAGATTAACATTCAAAACAGGTTGTGGAGATCTTAAATCCCAATACTAAATAACCACAATAATGACAGTAACCACAATCAGTAATTAATTTATAAATAAATCTCTTTCCTTCTAAAAAAGGTTACCACCTTGAGTGTTTTATCCCAACCTCCAGTTACTACGATATTGTTTGCATCGACGCATTCGATACATCGTATTGGTTGTACATGTTGAGCTATTTGAGTTGCAGTTTGGGTGGTGATATCAAACATACGTCCTGCACAATCTGCACCACCTGAAAATACCTTTGTACCATCCTAATATATTCATTGAGAAATTGATTGATTGAGTGATTGATGAATGAATGAATGAGCGAACGAACGAATTATTTGTTATCATACGAACATTACTCCAGGCCGAACAGAGTACTGGTTTCTCATGTAGATGATAAGCTTTTCCTTCAGTAGTACCAGCTTGTTGATTTGCTTCATATATTCGAACCTTTTTATATAAATCATTGTAAATATTGGTTAATTAATATTCTAGTTGTAAATCTTGAGAATTCAAAAATTATAAAATATAAAATTCAGAAATACATGATTATCCCAAGAAGTAACTGCAAAATAATCCGCCTGTGGAGAAAATGTAACCGATGATATTCCATCTGGAGGCGATTGAGGAACCTACATTATATGCATGTATGTACAATTGTAAAATGAACTTATTATTATTTATATTAATATTTATAGTATAAAACAAAATTGCAACCATCGTTAAAGATGTTTATACTTCATAATCTTTTGGGGTTTCATTTGAAGTTGTTAATGGCTTGCTGGAATTGGAGTAGGCCATTTTTTAATGATAAAATTTGAAAGTATTAGATTTTTGTGTGTGATGGCAATAGTTACGTTACACTAAACTGTCGATTATTATATTTATTTTTTTGACGTATATATATATATTATGGAATAATTGAAACTTTTCTCCGAAAAAGATTGCAATAACATCATTTTGAATTTGAGTCTTTAAACTGCGTGTATACTACATGACAAAAATTGGCCCGAAAAAAAAAATATTTAATATTAAATATGTATGTATATATATATATATATAATGTATATATTATAAACCTCCAATCCGTTAAGGAAGAAGCATAACAGTAGTTATATTTGTTGAACTATTTACATCTGATCGAGGTTCATGGAATTCATCAATGATGCTACATTTTACATC